GGGGGGAATTTGAAAGTCAGCCCTTTAGTGAGTACTGCAATAAAGAAGGAATTCAGCATGAGTTCTCTGCTCCAAAGACCCCACAACAGAATGGAATTGCAGAGAGAAAGAACAGGCATGTACAAGAGATGGCCCGCACAATGATAAACACTCAGAATCTGGCTCAGAATTTGTGGGCTGAAGCAGTCCATACAGCATGCTATACAAAAAATAGGGTATACAATCAGGAGCGGCACAAAGGCTACACCATATGAATTATGGAAAGGAAGAACTCTGAATCTTGCACACTTCCACATTTTTGGAGCAAAATGTTATGTCCTACGAGACAGACAACAGAAAGGAAAGTTCGAGGCTAAAAGTGAAGAAGCAATATTTGTAGGCTACTCACCAAACAGCAAGGCGTACAGAGTACTGCTCAAAAGGACAAGGAATATAATTGAATCAATAAACGTGGTGGTAGATGATCAAATACCTAGAACGAGCAGTGATGATGCTGAAACTGCTGAAACACAAACTGAAATAGTTTCAGAACAGGAAGAGACGGGGTTTGAAGAACAAATAAACCATGAGGAGGATCAAGCTACAGGATCAGAAGGGTCGGAAGGAACACCAGAGAAATCAACAGGGATACCCACACATGTGCACAAAAATCATCCACCAGAAAACATCATAGGGAATCTAAGAGAAGGCATCCAGACTCGGAAAAAGAAGATAGATTTTGTTCAAATGATAAATGCCTTCTATACCTCTTCAGTTGAACCAAAGAACATAAAAGAAGCACTTAAAGAAGAACCATGGATAGATGCCATGCAAGAAGAGCTGGGACAGTTTGAACGCAATAATGTATGGGAACTGGTCCCAAAGCCAGAGGGTGTAAATATTATTGGGACAAAATGGATTTTTCGAAACAAAACAGATGAAGATGGGAAGGTAGTCAGGAATAAAGCAAGGCTGGTAGCCCAGGGTTATACACAAGTCGAGGGAATTGATTTTGATGAAACATTTGCACCGGTTGCCAGACTGGAATCCATTCGTATGCTGATCAGCATGGCATGCATTCTTGACATGAAACTCTACAAGATGGATGTGAAGACTGCATTCCTAAATGGGTATCTTAAAGAAGAAGTATATGTCTCACAGCCAAAAGGGTTTGAAGATCCAAAACATCCAGATCATGTTTACAGACTGAGGAAAGCACTCTATGGGTTGAAGCAAGCTCCACGTGCATGGTATGAGACGCTGACCATGTTCTATAAAAGGTACGGATCAGACATTCTCATTGCTCAAATATATGTTGATGATATCATTTTTGGGTCCACCTCAAAAGCAGCATGTTGACAAGTTTGTCAAAACAATGGAGATGGAGTTTGAGATGAGCATGATTGGAGAATTAACCTTCTTCTTGGGGTTGCAAGTCAAGCAAACAGAGGAAGGCATCTTTATCTCACAATCTAAGTACATACAGAACATGCTGAAGAAATTTGAGATGAGTGACTGTAAAAGTGCTCGAACACCTTGTCCCACACATGAAAAGATCAGCAGAGATGATTGTGGAAAATCAGTAAATGAGACTCATTACAGAAGCATTATTGGAAGCCTGCTATATCTCACTGCCAGCAGGCCAGACATCTGTTATAGTGTGGGAGTATGTGCCAGATACCAAGCGAGTCCAAAGGAGTCACATCTCAAGGCTGTCAAAAGAATACTGAAATATGTTAGAGGCACACAAAATTTGGGATTATGGTACGAGAAGGGTGGTCCAGCACAATTAGCAGCATTTAGTGATGCAGACTGGGCAGGAAATATAGATGATCGAAAAAGTACATCTGGGGTTTGTTTCTTTCTAGGAGGAAATTTGGTTGCATGGCTAAGTAAGAAACAAAACTTAGTGTCACTATCTACAGCAGAAGCTGAATATATAGCAGCCGGGAGTTGTTGTGCACAGCTGTTATGGATGAAGTCAGTATTATCAGACTATGGAATCCAACAGAAGACAATACCACTATACTGCGACAACACAAGTGCAATCAGTATGTCAAAAAATCCTGTGCTACATTCTCGAACAAAGCACATCGACATCAAACATCATTTTATACGAGAATTAGTTGAAGGAAAAATTATCAGTCTGGAGCATGTTGATACAGAAGAGCAATTGGCTGATATTTTTACAAAGGCATTGGATGGAAGCAGATTTGAATCACTCAGATCCAAATTGGGTCTGTGTGCACCTTATTAATGTGTCAAAAAAACCACCTTGAACACAAATTGTCAGCTAATGTGTTCAAAGTGTCACTAATCCGCTGAAATAATGACACATGGCAACATAAAAGGAGTATCTGAAAAGAAGCACAAAAGAAAGGCATGCATGCGCACAGTGCTCCGTAAGTAACCTCAGCCAGACGTAGAAACCAAAGCGTCAAAATATTCAAAAGCCAAAGTATAACCCAAGAAGGCATTCGGGTAGAGAAATTTCAAAAAAATTCACACCAGAATCCACAGCCAAAACCAATCAAGAAATCCAAGAAGAAACAAGAAGATCTCTATTGCAATCATGGTGCGCATCAAGATGGCGCTACCCCAAAGATGGACTGGAAAGGCAAGAGTGCAAAAGAAGAAGTTTCACAAACCCTCCTGGACAAAGCTATTCTCAAGGGGTGAATCGCCATCCACCACAGCGACAACTGGAAAGTCTTCAGCACACCCACTTCTCTCAGATGATGATGGACTGCATCTTCATATTTTACAACCATCTGAAGTGTTGCGATTGGAATACACTCCAATCAATACAGAAGAATCCACAAAAAACCCTAACTCAAAGGAGGGAATCTGTGAAGAGGAAGTTCTGGGAGAGATTCTTGAAGAAGAAGAACCGATTGTTGCATGCTCAGCAGTCCCCTTTCAAGATTCTGCATGCAACACAAAGGGAGGAGACACAAAAAGGAAAAACAACAATGGACCTACCCGATGGTCTCTGAGACGGACCAGATCTCTTCAACATACAGAGAATTCACAAGAGGAGAAAACGGAAGTTAAAGAGTCAGAGAAAAAGGAGAAGAAGATGAAGCCTCAATCTGAGCCCAAGAAGAGAAAAGAAAGTGAGATTTGTCCTTCGCCAAAACATCCAGTAAAGAGAACAAAATCCACACCAGATGCTCCACCATCATCCAGACGGGAGACCAGAAGTTCAAAGAATTCACCATCAAGCTGCACTCTAGGGAAGCAATCTGTTAAACTCTTTTCCTCTAGTGTTGCAAAATCTCTTTTTCTTGATGTTGTGAAAAAATCAATTATCCCTCAAAGGAATCTTGATGTGTCTGACTTTAGCAAGAAAACAAACCTCCTGCCCACACTGAAATCAAACAAACTGCTAAAATCTGTCACTCTCCCTGGGTCATATGTGAAGAAAGTCATTCAAGAATTCTATTGCAATTTAACTGAGTCATGTGTTACCGAAGATGATCCCTCATACCAGAAAGTCTTTGTTCGTGTAAAGCTCTATGATTTTTCTCCCTCAGTCATAAACTCTTTTCTTGGTACTGACCAAAATCCAGTAATCACTCCTATTGATGAGGAAACTGTGTGGAGTGATCTCACCAATGGACTTAGGGACTACCAACATGGAAAGTCCAAAGTACCTTCTTCAGTGCTGAAAAGTTCATATGCTCTCCTTCTAAGAATTGCTGCATTTCACTGGATGCCCACTACTCACACCAACACTGTCCCATTGTGCATAGCCACCCTAATCTACAGAATCAAAAACAAGGTTCCTTTTGATCTTGTTAGGGTTGTATTTGATAAGGTGATGGCGTTTGCAGCAGAAAAATACAAGAAGAACAAGAATGGTCTTCCATACCCACTGTTGATCTACAACATACTGAAGGATCAAGGCTTTGAGAAGAAAGAAGATGAAGAAGAAGAGATCATTCCTCCTTTGCTGCAAGTGGATGCAAGACATCTTGAAGGAAGCCACTTCAATGACATGGTTGCCGCTGGAGCATCCTCAGCAGAAACACCAAATCCAGCTTCAATAGATTACCAGCTCAGCTTTCTTGAAAAGGAGATCAAATCCCTTCAAATGGATGCGGATTATCATCATGAAATTGCCGAGAGATCAACTGAAAGGATGAATGTGCTTATCCAGATTGCACATAACCTGAGGCAAACAAAGAGTGCACAGAGTAAGGGGGAGAGACTGACTAAACAAAAGGCAGTTGCAGCACACTCATGCACAGATGAAGATGATCAAGAAGACAGTGCAGAAGAGATATCTTCATCAGAATCAGCAGGGGCCTCTCAAAAATCATCAAAAGGTGCCAGTTCAGAGGAGTAAACATTGCCTTATTGATAAAACTGTTGCTCTAAAACATTTTTTTTGGAAGGGTTGTTCTGCCCTGTTGTTTTATGATGCTGAAGACATTGCATGGTTCTTTTGTTAAACTTATCTGTGCCCTGTGAAGAGATGGTTTTATTCTCTATGTTCTCTATGAAGCTCTGGTTGTGACCTATTTTGATTCTGATTTTATCTACATGCCTTGTGAAGCAACGACAGCACACGAGCCTACCCTCTCTCATGGCTACTTGGCTCTTTCTGGGGTGACTCTTGTAGGTACAACTCTTTAGTGTTTTCTTTCCTATATTCTTAATGTACCTATTCTTGACCATATTGAATATTACTCTGCTCTTTTTGCCCCCAACTTTGCTGACTTTCAATAAAATATCTTTGGCATTTTTTCTGCAAAAAAGGGGGAGAAGAAGAGGTTCAAAATCGGCTGAGTAGTGGTTTTTGTCAAAAAATTGCCAAAGGGGGAGATTGTTAGCTCTGACTAGTTAATGATGATAGTGTTTTATGTTGGCATTATTTTTTGACAAAACCCTTCTGTAGAAAATGGTAGTGTGTCTGTGTTAGATAAGAGCTGTAGCATCCTATCGGTCATGATAAAGAGTCTCTATATGATATGGACTCTGACTATATGAAGACTTATATCTCAAAAGGAGTTCGTGAGGTGTCCAGGCAACATCAGATGCATTAATTATCTCCTAAGCGCATGCTTAACATGAGATGTATTTACGGGAAGAAGACATGGCATACTAGGTCTGTCTGGTACTCAAGCTTATCACCGTAAGAGTTCTATATCATCTCTACTAGGGTTATGGACACACCCTATAAAGAGAGTCAGCCGTAGAGAAAAGATGTACGCAGAATTATACTCAGAATATCAAAGGAGAGGACGTGAGATCACAACGATTCTGATAAGAACAAAACTGTGAGAGATTTGCATGAGAAGATCAGTCATGGATCTTCTCTAGATATTGTTCAGCTGTTGCAACCTGGTTGGCTGAGCAAGGGTCAGAAACACATCCTTCGTGCAGAGCAAGAAGAAGGTGTAATAGGCCTGGTGAGGACACAAACCGAGTTTGCTGTCAGATCTCGTAAGTAGACAAGTCAGATTCATTAGAAGGTTCTATTGAAGTTTGATAGTGTAATTCTTATGTTGATCTAGTGGAAAGGCTATTACACAGATGTGGGCCTCGCAGACGTAGAAGATACTGCTCCGAACTGCGTAAACAAATCTTTGTGTCTTGGTGTGTTTAAATTTTCTGCCTGTGTGTGTGACTATTGAAAAAAGCGTTGTAGCATCCTGCGTATTCTAAAAGCTGCAACACTTCTTTCAACAGCAGTTTTTGTTTGCATCTGTTTGCTGTTGTGATTTATTTCTTGCGAGTGCTGGAATTTCAGAAATAAAATTCAATGTTATTCATTTGAACTTTCATTCTATGTGTGAATTATAACATAATTAATTTGTATGCTAAATGTGTGGTGAGAGTTTAAAAAAAAAATAATGCCATTTTTAAAAATTTTTTACACACTTGATCAAATATTTACAAACGGGACTAAAGTAAGATTATCCTAATTTATTGGAGTGAAATCATTTTTTTTACAAATAAGTTGTTTTATATTGTAGTTTATGAATAGTTTTTTAATTAGTTACTTCCTCTTTGTCGATTCATGGCATAATTTATTACTCCGTAGTAGAAAAATAATGGATTATGTATAATAGATCATGCAATAATGGTGTTTAAAATATTACTCCGATCACTTATTGTTAAATTTTATACGTTTTTTTTCAATAATTTGAACAATATTGTAAGTGAAGGTTTATCCAATTGTGGCGTGAATCATATTCCAGTGATTTGTTTCTAATGTAGAAACTTTTCTACGTAAAAGCTTTTATATGACATCAAACTTTACAACCAATGAGTATATGGGATTCACTTTACACGTTTCTTAGCTTTGGGAGGAAAGAAATGTCTTTAAAAAACTTCTAGAACAAATAATATCCCCTAAACATAGTCTACCTCCAAAGTTGTATTTAATTTAGATCTTTTTTTTGCACCCCAGTGGCAAACCACTTGATTGGTGGGGTAAGGTCTAGGCAACCCTTACCGAGTTTTATTAAGATATTCGTCACTACAAAATTATAGTATTAAAGTCGTTGTCAAAATCAACAAAATTTATCTCCTTTTCTTTTACCTTTCCTTTGGTAGATGCTAGATAGAGATCAACACGGTGCTTTGGTGTACGACAAGTACGAGACCAACGACTTTTCACTCCACATCGGTAACAAATTTCATCCCTTTGTTTTGAAGCATCACCTTTAACAATCTTCCCATTTTCTTGTTTTTGGTCATTATTTTCCAACCTCGAGTTGTTCGGTATATATTTCTTACTAAAAACATTGTTGTTGAATCCTCCTCGACCTCGCCCATAACCACGACCAAAACCACGGACACGGCCGCGACCGCGAGCACGCCCTCGTCCACGAAAATTAGCATTCGCTCTTGGGAATGAATTGATTGCATTCGCTGCAAGGAATGGTTGAGAGCCAGTAGGGCGAGAGTTATGATTTTTCATGAGAAGATCATTATTTTGTTCAGCAACAAGGAGACAAGAGATAAGTTGAGAATACTTAGTAAATCCTTTTTCTCGGTACTGCTGCAGCAAGAGCATGTTAGAGGCATGAAAAGTGGTAAATGTTTTCTCCAACATATCAGCATCAGTGACGGTGTCTCCACACAACCTTAATTGATATACAATCCTAAACATGGCAGAATTATACCCGTTTACCGTTTTAAAATCTTGCCACCTGAGTGGCATCCAATCATAACCAGCCTTTGGAAGTATCACACTTTTTAGATGGTTGTATCTCTCCTCCAAGTCACTCCAAAGAGTCGCAGGATCTTTGACCCCAATATATTCGGACTTCAGGCCTTCATGAAGATGATGACGTATGAAAATCACTGCCTTTGCTTTTTCTTGTTCGCTAGCCCCACCAATTTTTTTAATAGCATTTCCAAGATTGATTGCATTCAAATGAATCTCAACATCAAGAACCCATTTCAAATAGTTCTTTTGGGAAATGTCAAGGACAGCAAATTCAAGCTTGGTGAGGTTACCCATAACTGAAAGTAAATTATAAATTATTATTATTTAGAACCATGTGGACCTTTTCTTTTTCTTGTTCGCCAGCCCCACCAATTTTGTTAAGAGCATTTCCAAGATTTATTGCATTCAAATGAATCTTAACATCAAGAACCCATGTCAAATAGTTCTTTCCGAAAATGTCAAGGGCAGCAAATTCATGCTTGGTGAGGTTACCCATAACTGAAAATAAATTATAAATTATTATTATTTAGAACCATGTGGGCTAACCTTTAGTCATATATTTCATGTTGATTTTTTTTTGCAATTCATTACCAGAATCTACTTGTTGAAAAAAAACAAATGTATGTGTAAATTGCACCATGCAAGACAATTTTATTTATCAAATAATTCTAATTGTACAATTTTTTTAAAACGCACATATACACATATATCAAATTAGTAGATTAAGTTTTTTTTATTATTGTGAAAAATAAATAAATTAATGTGTATTGATTGAATAACAGATTTTTTTAATAAAAAAAGGCTAAGGTATTTGAAGGGTCTCAATTATTATTATTATTTATTATGCATTATTATTATTATTATGGCGGAGGTTACAATAAGAGCAAAACTATGGACATAATGATAAATTAGAGCACATTACATAAGTACAAATAATAAGTCTATAATATTAACATTATTATTATTATTATTATTATTATTATTATTATTATTATTATTATTATTTCTTTGTTGCATAGTAAATAATAATGTCACCTATATATTCATGTGGCATACTCAAATCTTCAGGTTTGAGTTTCACAGTTAATGCTTCGAGTATATGAAATCAGAATATGAACTTCAAGTTCACTAGCCAAAAGAGAAAAAAAACTAAAGAAATGAATTTTTTTTCGACATAATATGTACTCAAACTTCAGGTTGAGTTTTATCATATAACCTTGAACTTTAACACATAATGTAGGCTTGACATGCTAATTCTCTAATATATTTAGGAGCTTTAGATTCAATATAAATATACAAGTACACTAAAAAACTAAAATAAATAAGTGTATATGTATATGTATATATCTATAACATGAATATATGAATATGAACAAGGACAAGAGATGAAGGGGAGTAATTTCTCTAGAATTAGAATTTTTTGCTATCGTGTTGATAACGTGTTAGAAATAAAGATAATAAGAATATTGTTATGAACAATATGATAGAGATATACCTTGATAACACAAATGAAAGATCAAAGTGTAATGGAGAATCAAATGAGAAGAAATGCAATGAGAGACTAAAGACAAGGATGTTCCATTTCTACATATGGAGCCTCTATTTATAGGCTTACAAAGGGGAAAAGCAAAGGACATGGAGAACATCCCATTATTTTGGACACCATAAATAATGTTTACAACACTAATTCGTTGAAATTTTTTTTATGTGTTAAAAGGTGCACCAAAGAAACGCTTTACAAAAAAAAGTTTTTTCTAAAAAAATTAAATTATAGAAAAAACTCTTTTCATTTAAAGATTTTGAACATAACAAAACTCTAAATTTATTTTCAACAAAAAATCTGAGAATTTATGATAAAATGACATCAAACCGACAGAAGTCATAAGTACATGGGATTCACCTTACAAAAATAGTCAACGTTTGTTTTGTTTGGAAGGAAAGAAATAACTTAAAAAATGGAACTCCTTACAAAATATCCCCTTAACATAATCTACTACCAAATATATATTCTGTTTGTAACCTTCTTTTTCATTCATACTAAAATTTTAACACACATTTCCTCAAAAAAATAAAAAATAAATAAATATAGCATTGCACAAACTTGCAACTTCTCGAAGCAATAACAAAAAACCTACGGCTTCTTCGACCAACGACAAACTTATCACAGACGTGAAAATTAAAATTTTCTAGGCACATTCAATTGGATGATACTCCTCATCGGTGTTCAACTGTTACGGGACTACTATTATTATTGTTATTATTATGACTTCTTTCGCCGTTCGGAGTTGTGAAGCAGCATTGCCATTTTTGTAAGGTGAATCCGCCGTTCGGAGTTGCTTTGCCATTTTTATTATTATTCACAACTCCTGGCGAGATTTGGCTTTGCTTTGCCTTCTCGGTGCTTATGTTGTTCGCCGCCAGGACGGGAGACCATTACACACATTTTCTATCATGGGAGCATGGCGCGGCGTGTTTGGACTTATTTCACAGAGTCTGCCCGTATCCGGGGCACACATCACAGTTTGAGGTCCGTCTTGAGTATATGGTGGGCGCAGAGGCCGAGGAGCAGGATGCTCTCGTTCCTGTTCCACCGCCTGCCGATGATCATTCTTTGGGAGATTTGGACGCACTACGCTGCTTGCAAGTATGGGGATGCTCGCCCCAACTTTGCACGCATTATTTTTCGGGTGGCTACGGCGGTGTCGGAGTGCATCTATCGTCGCTGGCCTAGCGGGGGTCTCTTGCCTTTCCGATGGTCGGTGATCATGGAGCACGTTCGACGAGGCTCTGGACGCAGGAGGGTGGTGCCGATTCGGTGGGTCCCACCGCCAGGTGGCACCATCAAGGTGAATGTGGCGAGGGCCCCGCTACGTGGGGCATTTGCAGCGATCGTGCGTGACTCGACAGGTAAGTTTCTTTATGCTCTTTCTTCTATTGCATTCAGGTGGGAACCAGTGGAGCGTGGAGGGATGGACGTGCTTCTTCGGTGTATTCAATGGTGTATATCCCAGTCCTTCTTGCGCATCCACGTGGAGTCCCATCATTCAGAGCTAGCTTGTTTCTTTAGAGAAGGTACCTCGTGGTACCTTCATGATGTTTATGCTAGACTGCGTTTCCTCTGTTCTATCGCGACGGTCCAGTGGTTTCATTGTGACGTGCGGGCGAATGCCCCGACGACTGAGTTGGCATTGTGGGCCGTGGATAGTACAGAGGGGACGCGAGAGTTTACTAATCTGCAGGATCTTGACATTCGGGTACAATCTCTCCTTCCTATGGACGATCTGCCCTTCTTTTGCATTGATGAGGATGGGGGTAACCCCTAGTTGCACTGATTTGGCTGCCTTAACGACCACGTCTGCGGTTAAGAGCCGCACGTATGTACCCGCGGTTAAAGGGTGCCCGTTGGTTCCCGCGGTTTGGGGCCACGTGTTGTACCGACGGTGAACGGTGCCTTTGCGAGATGACGGGCGTAGTTTCGCAGAGTTTCTTTCGCCCCCGTCGACTCCTGCGACTCCTGGGGTACGTCGGCGCTTGCGTCTGGGTTTTTAGCGCCCGTAGTTGCCAGCGGTATTTGGCATCCTAGCCCGGGCAGAGGTGGCTGTCCGGTAAAGGCTTTTTCCATCTTGCACTTCATCTGAGTGCCTTAACGGCCGCGCCTGCGGTCAAAAGGCGCACGTATGCGTCCGCGGTAAAGGATGCCTGTCAGTGCTTGCGGATTGTGGATTTGAGCACCCGTGGCGCACACGGAAAGTGCGTATGCGTGGTACCGTCAGCAAATCGGTGCCCTCGTTGGGAGGCTGGGTGGGGCCCGACGAGGTTTCTTCCGCCTGCGTCAGTGCTTGCGCTTGAGGTTAGAGCACCCGCTATCTATCGGCGGTAATGGGCTAAGGGTTGGCCACTGACCCATAGTGGTACCTCTTCCTTCCTTCTCCATTTCTCTTGGGATTTCCTCTCTTGGATTCTCTTCACTTTTCATCTTCATCATTGTGGATTTGGACTTTCTTGAGACTGCTTCACTGGTTATTTTCTTGGATTTTGGACTTTCTTGGATTTCTACACGGCTGGACTACTTGGATTTGGTTGGGTTGAGACTTCTAGCTGGGCCGTAGCATTGGCGTTGGGCTTCGGCCTTCACGGATGGGCTGCTCACCTTGGCGGATTGGACCGATCTGCACTTAGGCTGGTCGCTGATGGTTGGACGGCCTGGTGGGCTTGGACTGGGCCGGCGGCTTACTTGGGCTTGCATGGGAGAGATTGGGCTTCTATTTGGGCCTGATGGACTCTCATGGTTTGGGCCTCCTCAGGCCGGGCTTCAGATGCGGATTTGGGCTAGCACACATGCCTTCCTTCATGGTTTGGGCTTTTCCAGTTTTGGGCTCTACTTGGCTCACTTGGATTATTTTTGCATATATTATTTTATTCATTCTTTAGTTGGGCTTTTCTGGATTTTAGACTAGACTTATGTCGATTGCATTTCTTGGCTTAGAACTTTTTCTTGATCGGATTATCTGACCTTAGGCCTTACCCTTGCGGGGGTTGAGGCTCCGGGAATGATTTTATTCCTAGATCTAAGTGGAATGTTTTGAGCCGGCTTTGTAATTGCACTTAAGTCTATGTTCCAATATCCGATAAGCGCTTCACATTATAGTTCTTTGGTTGTTGCTTACTTTTCATACAAGTGAGAAGCCTGTTCCCGCTTGTTCAGACGTTTGTATTCTTTGATTTTTAATAAAATGCATTAAAAAAAACACAAGAGGGCTCATGTCACCATATAGTTGTTTTCTTTTAAAAAAATTATTATTATTATTATTATTATTATTATTATTATTATTATTATTATTATTATTATTATTATTATTATTATTATTATTATTATTATTATTATTATTATCACTATTATCATTATTATTATTATTATTATTATTATCATTATTATTATTATTATTATGGTAAGAAATTATTTATATTTAGTTAACTATTATTAGGGAATATATTTGTTAGGTGATTAATTAGTTTCCTAGTTTATTTAGTTACCTTTTATAATTAAGATTCTTAATTATTTAGTTACCATTTATTATTGAGATTCTCTAGAGTTGGAGCCTATGAATGTATCCATCACCATAGTATTATCAATCAATGCATAAAGAAAATACTTTCTCCTAAACCTTAATCTCTCTCTTTCTTGCCTCTTTTGCTCTTGGAGCTCGAAAGTGCTCGAAATCCTTCCCTATCCGGATACGATACCGTATCAATTGGTGCTCTCATTCTCGAATTCATAAAAAACAAACAGTTGCTTATCGTCGCCGTTCGGAGTTGGGAAGGAGCATTGCCCCACCGGTTGGCAACCTCCAAAGTCTCACTTTTGCTTTTTTCATACCCACCAGGACTACTTTTTTGGGGTAGACTGGAAATCACAACAAAAAAACAAACAAAGTTTGTGGTGCGGTCAACTTTGTTTAAAAAAACAAGAGGACCAAAGTTTCCAGGTTGAATTTTGGTAGCATATCGCCCAAAGCAATGAACTCACTGTTGGACAAAGTTCTTGGTTTACTCGAGAAAGTTCTAGGGGGAAAAATTGAATTTTATGAAGGAGTGTGTGCAGTTGAAGATTCCATGGATGAGATTATAAAAACACTTCAGGCATTCCGTCCAATTGATGGTCAACCAAAATATGATTCCAAGGTATATGTGTTCGCTGTAGAGGCCTATTGTTCAATACAGGTCCGTGGTCTACCAATTATGCCGAGCCTGATTCCTATAGAGTTATATATTTTCAAAACAACCATGATGCGCTCCATAAGGAAACTCATCTGCACTCCACGAGATTCGGCCCCTACAGTACCTGTGCAGAACACAACTTTACAGGACCAGAAATTTGAAAAGGAAATTTTTCTTGATCCTGTTGGTTTTCTCGATGATGATCTTATTATTGATCCCATAGGTACGGTGTTGTTCCTGTTACCGTTGATAATGCTGTTGTTGATGTTTCTGGTGACGATCAACGAGACCACACTGTCCGAACAAAATATGCAAGTGATGGTGTCATTTCTTATGGATACACGGAAACATTTGGGACATTAGAAAGTGACGTTGTTGTCCTTTATGATTCTGGGGATGTCACGCATGTTAGCAGGATTTTCTTCTTATTGGTTCTCTAGAGTTGTTTGCTGGCAGTTGTGAATGCTTTGCACTTGACCGATTCTTTTGATGCCCCATTCATAAAGGTATTTGACCCCGGAGGATTTCCATTCACAGCGCATTATTCCTTGTTTTTTCTAGATTTCCAACTTGAGGACAAGTTGGTTTTCGAGGCGGGGAGAGTGTTACGGGACTATTATTATTATTATTATGGTAAGAAATTATTTATAGTTAGTTAACAATTATCAGGGAATAATATATTTGTTAGGCGATTAATTAGTTTCCTAGTTTATTTAGTTACCTTTTATAATTAGGATTCTTAATTATTTAGTTACCATTTATTATCACTACTACAAAAATGACCAAATCGATCACCTCATTTGCATCGGTAAGCAAAACAACCGATCTAAATGTAAAAAAAATCGCGTATCGGTTGATATTTGCATCGGTTAAGCCTAATAACCGATTCAAATAACTATTTGAATCGGTTATTAGGTTTAACTGATGCAAATAAGAGTTTTTAAGATGGCCTCTTATTCCTTATCCTTGCACGATTTTGAAAAAAACCCTCCAAACCTTCTTCCCGTCGTCGCTCTCCTTCGCTGCTGACCTCGTTCTTCGTAGTCGCCTTTGCCGTCAGCTTCCTCGCCGTCATCCTCTTCACTTTCCCCGTTGCCACACCTCACCATCGTCCATATCGCCGTCGGCCCTACTGTTTCTAACCCATCCTCGTCGTCGTCGCCCTCGCCGTTTCCACCTCGCCCTCGTCGTCTCGTCCAACCTCGTCGTCGCATTGCTACCTCGCCGCCGGAACTGCTGCCTCGCCGCCTGCCCTGCTGCCCCGTCGTTTTCCCTCGCCTCCTCTACCCCAAGCCTCCTTTAAGGTATTTTTTCTAATTTTTTAAACTTTAAATTAAATATTTAATTATACTATTATTTGTTTATATATTTTTTCATTATGTTAATATTTAATTTACTCTATATTTGAATTGTTTTTGTGTTTATGTTTATGTGACATTGTGATATAGATTGCATTTGAAATATAGATGGTTTAATTACTCTTTGTTGGATTCTACATGATCTGAGATGTTATAATATAAAAATAACATATATTGACCGACCTAGATACCCGTTTAAAATTTACTCATTAGGAGTAAATTTTAAATAGCTCCTAGTTTGGAGCTGTTCTTGAAATGTTTCTCTCGCTTAGGTAGTGAGTGTATTTCTCTCTCTTTGTTCTGTCATTTTTTGGTTTGACGTATCCTAAATGTGTTCTTCGGGTGCATATGTGATTACGTTACATCGTGCACTTGGAGAACCATTGGGTAATGCTGCCAAAATTATAGGTCAAAGAAAATGAAATACATTTACTAGTGAGGGCGGCATTTCAAGAATGGGTTAGGATGGTGTAAAGAAGGACCATTTGTATAATGAAGAAGTGATGCCGGATTTTTGTTACATCATAAGAAATAAAATATTGCGTTGCCCGTATTTCTTATATGTTTGTGTGTATATATAAAATGAGTGTTAATAATTTTATTGTGCATTGTTTTGCATGTATCAATCATTTGCCCTTCTTTCTTGCTTAGCAATTCATATGATGGATAGAAGTTGGATTCATGTGTCGCGTACATCACCTGAGTTTAGTTCTGGTTTGGAAGAGTTTATTCGTTTCGCAGAGAAACATTCAAAAGAAGGAAAAAAGCTATATTGTCCTTGTAACTCATGTCACAACCATTTTATGGTTGATAGAATTAAAGAAATAAGATTACATGTGTATCGCAAGGGTTTTGACCCAACATACCTGCGATGGAAATGGTAGAGAGAATTAGAAAATCCTTGCAGCTCTAGCTATACTCATAATGACCAAGTCGAAGATGATATTCACGACATCCACAATCTTGAGGTTGAAATGGAAGATGAGTTAGGGGCCACTCAAGATGTTCCTCCTGATAAAGTCGTCATTGATGAGGAGCGTAATATGTATGAGAGCTTAGTAGGAAGCTCAAAACGCCCGTTGTATCCTAGTTGTACAAAGTTTACACGTTTGAAGGGGGTTTTGGAATTGTTCAATTTAAATGTAGCAAATGGGTAGAGTGACAAAAGTTTCACGTGTTTATTAAGTTTGTTGGGTGAACTTCTTCTAGATGGACACGAACTACCATCGTCCACTTATGAGGTGAAGAAAATGATGTCTCCAATGGGTGAGGGCTACAAGAAGATACATGCTTGTGTTAATGATTGCATTTTATATTGAAATGAGTTCAAGGATCTCAATGAATGTCACAAGTGTTTTGCTCCAAGATACAAGGAGTCAACCAAAATGACTCATAACAAGGACAATATGAAAAAAACCAAAAAGACTCCGGTTAAGGTTTTGTGGTACCTTCCAATAATACCAAGGTTCAAGCGTTTGTTTGCTTCAATAAAGGACGCTAAGAATCTAGTGTGGCACACAGAGCAGCGAAAAGATAATGGCACCCTGCGTCATCCTACCGATGCCCCACAGTGGAAGACGATTGACTACACATTTCCAGAACAAACAAAATAGGCCTTCTGAAAATTTTATGTATTTGAATCGGTTATTTGATAATAACTGATTCAAAAGATACTCATTTGAATCAGTTATTACCAAATAACTGATCCAAAAGCCCCTTCCAAGAGAAGGGCATTTGAATCGGTTATTTGGTAATAACCGATTCAAATGTCTAAACTTTTGAATCGGTTATTACCAAATAACCAATTCAAATGCATCTATCCAAAAATGGCGCCATTTCGGGAAGGAGCTTTTGCATCGGTTTTTTGGTAATAACCGATTCAAAAAGCCTCTTCCCAGAATTGGCGCCATTTTTGGGGAGGGCTTTTCCATCGGTTTTAACAACCGATGCAAAAAGTAACTTGAGTATTTGCATCGCTGGCTTTTGCATCGGTTCAAAACCCATTTAAAAGGGTCAAAATAACTGATTTAATAGGTCTTTTTTGTAGTAGTGTATTGAGATTCTCTAGAGTTGGAGCCTATAAATGTATCCATCACCATAGTATTATCAATCAATGAATAAAGAAAATACTTTCTCCTAAACCTTAATCTCTCTCTTCCTCGCCTCTTTTGTTCTTGGAGCTCGAAGGTGCTCGAAATCCTTCCCTATCCGATAAGATACCGTATCATCAATGGATCTAAAACACGTAAGCTTCTCTTCAATCGTAAAACCTAGAAGTAAAATTCGATGTCATTCATTTGAAAATTCATTCTATGTGTGAATTGTACATAATTAATATGTATGCTAAATATGTAGTGAAAGTTTTCAAAAAAAAATTTTATGCCATTTTAAAAAAAAAATTTACGAACTTGATCAAATAATTACAAACTAGACTAAAATATGATTATCCCATTTTCATGGATTGAAATCACTTTTTTTCACAAATAAGTTGCTTTATATTGTAGTTTATGAATAGTTTTTTAATTAGTCATTTTCTCTTTGTCGAATCATGGCATAAATTATTAGGAAATAATGGAACAATAATTTTCAATAAATTGTAGTTTTTGAATAGTTTTTTAATTAGTCATTTTCAATAATTTAAACAATATTGTAATTGAATGTTTGTCCAATTGTGGTGTGGATCATATTCCATAGATCTGTTTCTAATGTAGAAAATTTTCTACATAAAAGCTTTACAAGAAGAAACAAAAAATGTTTTAATCAAATTTTATTTTCGAAAAATAAATAAAAAATATTACATGCTTTGGTAAAAAACAGTTTACAAAAAAAAATTGGCTTAAAAACAAATTTTATCAACCATTTCATTTTTTTTATATTGTACTTTAAAAAAGTTACTCCCTCTGAAAGGAATGTGTACCTAATACACCCTATATCTTACCTTGTGAAAGAAATTTTTCCTCTTATTAAGACACAAAAACTATTTCCAATGTTACTCTGAAACATCATTTTTTAATTTTAAACAATTCTTACTCAGCTAATGTTAAATAATACACACAATAGCTTTAAGAGCAATGATAGTGGGTGTCAAGAAACCAACTCAACCAAAAGCTCAAGCTTGTAGTTGTGGCCCAAGAACATTTATTTATATTCTAACACACCCCCTCACGTGCAGGTGTAGTCTTTTTCGAGCCTTGCACGTGAAACCTTAATTTTTTAAACTGGGTGGCGCTGAGTTTTGAACCCGTGACCTCTTAGTCAACGAGGCTCTGATAGCATGTCAAGGAACCAACTCAACCAAAAGCTCAAGCTTGTATTTGTGGCCCAAGAACATTTATTTATATTCTAACACGCCCCCTTATTGGCGTTTGAATAATTGTCTATTGATCACCTTAATATGGAATAATACAAGAGGAATAAATAATAGGGACTCCAAACATATCAAGGAGTCATAAAGAGGTAATTACCAAAAATACACAACTACTATAAATAATATATATGTCTAACATCCCTCCTCAAGCTGAACACCGTGTAACGAGTGGAAGCTTGGACACAAGATTCTGGAAACGTGGAGACGGCAAAGCTTTAGTTAGTAAATCAACAAGTTGGTCCTTGGAGAACACATGTGAGACACTCATGGTACCAGCAATGACTTATTCGCGAACAAAGTGACAGTCGGTCCCCACATGTTTCATCCTCTTGTGAAAAATTAGATTCTTGGTGAGACAAATAGCCGATTGGTTGTCACAGAAAAGATGTGGTGGAGAAGTGGGAACACGCAGATGAGTTAAGATATAAGTCAACCACATAACTTCGGATGCAGCAGCAGACAACGCACGATACTCAGCTTCCGTTGAAGACTTCGACACACATGTCTATTTTTTCAGTACTCCATGACACCAGATTTGGCCCCAAGTAGATCAAATATCCAGTGACTGATCGTCCATCCGTCATATCATTCGCCCAGTCTGAATCAAAGTACGCACGAAGCTAAAGATCACCTGTACGGAAGACTAGACCCGATCAAGTGTCCCTTTGACAAAATGCAGGATCTGCTTTAAACTCTGAAAATCATTTTGGGTAGGTGTGTGCATTCTTTGGCAGACATATTTGACAGCAAATTGGATATCAGGACGAGTGGTAGTGAGATATTGGAGACCACCAACCAAGCTACGAAACAAAGTAGGATCAGCAAATAGGGTCTCACCCCCGGCTTGGATGTCTGCCGTACCGGCAGAGGCATAGGCGACGGTCGGTAGTCGTCCATTCCGGCTCTGTGGAGAAGCTCAGCTGCATATTTTCTTTGAGAGAGCACAAGGCTAGACGCTGTGTGTGAGACCTCAAGACCAAGAAAATAGTCCACAGGACCGAGGTCTTTTGTCTGAAACTCTGTGCACATACGATCAATAAACTACTGGACGAGAGAGATAGAGCTACATGTGACAATAATATCATCAACATAGACAAGTAATATGAGAGTGCCTCCTGAGTTATGTAAAATAAATAAGCTGGTGTCATGCACATTCTTCCGGAAGCCATAAGCAAAGAGAAAAGTAGAGAGTCGTAGATACCAAGCCCGGGGTGCCTGTTTAAGACCATACAGAGACTTTGTGAGTTTACAGACGTGCCCTGGAAAGTTCTGGCCAACATAGCCAGGTGGCTGAGTCATATACAGATCCTCATCAACCTCACCATGTAAGAAGGCATTGGAGACATCCAATTGCTGCAGGGGCCATTGATGAGAAAGAGCAAGAGTAAAAACAATCCTGATAGTCTATTCTTTAACAACTGGACTAAAAGTCTTAGAATAATCCAGACCAGACTCCTGAGTATACCCTTTGGCGACCAGGTGTGCTTTATATCGCGAGATGGACCCATCAGGGTTACGCTTTATTTTGTATACCCACTTACACCCAATCAGAGATCGACCCTTAAGTCTCGGCACAAGGACCCATGTATTCTGAGAAAGCAAAGCATAATATTCTTCATCCATAGCACGACACCAGTACTCATTTTAGGACGCCTCGCGATAGGTGCTGGGCTCAGTAACACGAGGAGAGGAAGTGGGTTGAAGGGTGTAGAGTTTAGGTTTGAAGATGCCACATTTTAATTTGCACGTGTGATCATGGGATGAGTGGGTTGTAGGGGAGGGGGTGCCGTAGGGAGAGAGGGGTTTAGGAGGTTTGGCGTGGGAGATTGGGAAATAGGGGTAGGGTTTTGAGACTCGGGAATGGGTTGCATGGAAATAGGGCTGGGCGATGGGGTATAATTCAGCGTAGGGTGGGGTGTTGTCGGGGTGACTGACAGGGAATGAGGGGTAGGAAAACCAAGTGGGACGGTGGGCGCATGTCTATGCGAAGGGGCAACGGGTATTTGGGATGCATTTTGAGGTGACGAGGCCACGAGAGCAGGGACTCACACCAAAGAATCGGGAAAAATTGGTAGAACCCCAAAATAAGACGGTGGAGAGGACGTTGGAGAGAGACTACTATAGGGAAAGACAGACTCATTAAACTGAACATGATGGGAAATATAGACACGCTTTGTGGATGGATTATAACAATGGTAACCTTTGGACAGATGCTCATACCCAAGGAAGAAACAACGTTTGGAACGAGGTTGTAGTTTGTGATCAATCTCATGACGGAGATGGGGATACACAAGACAACCAAAGACTCGAAGATGAGAATAGTCAGGTGGGGTGTTATAGAGAGCCTCAAAAGGAGATATATTTATTGAGAGAGCGCTTTGGCATACGATTAATGAGATAATTTGCCGTTGCCAAAGCTTCAACCCAAAACGTAGCCGGTAAGAAAGAGGTATAGAGAAGAGTAAGAACAGTCTCAATAAGATGTCTGTGCTTGTGCTCAGCTACCCCATTCTGTTTAGGTGTGTAAGGGCAAGATTTCTGATGAAGGACTCCTAACTCTTGTAAAAAACACCCAAATCTATGGTTAACATATTCACGACCATTGTCAGTGCGAAAAATTTTAATGGTTTTGCCAAATTGAATTTGAACCATATATTGAAAACTTTGAAAGGCACCAAAGGCCTCAGATTTGTGTTTAAGTGGGTAGAGCCAACAGAATTTAGTATAATCATCCACAAAGTTAATATAAAAATGATAACCCCCAAAAGATGGAACTGTCGTAGGTCCCCAAACATCTGAATGTATTAATTGAAAAGATTCAGTGGTTACACTAGAAGATAAAGGAAATGCTAATTTATGAGACTTAGACATAGAACATGACTCACATTGAAACATATCTGACTTAAAATTAACGCCTAATTAGGAAAATAAAAACTTGGTGACTTGAGACGACGGATGACCAAGCTGAAAGTGCCATTGATGAGAAGTGACACGCACAGCATTGGCCAACACAAGAGACGCTACGGGGATGGATGAACCAGGAGACTTCACTGGAAGGGTGTATAGACCGTGCTCACATGGGCCTCCGTATATCACCTGATTGGTAATATTGTCCAGGATAAAAAATCCTTAGAGGTAAAAAGAATAGAGGAATTATTGTCAGAGGTAAATTTATGGACAGATAAGAGATGCGTATTTAGATTAGGGACATGGAGCAAATTGGAGAGGGTAAAAGTACCTCTGGCTGTGGTAACCTGTCCTAAGCCAACACCAGAAATCGGTAAGGACTGTCCCCCATCCGTAGAGATCGAGTTAGAGCCATAATATGGATGAGAATGTTGCAACCTTGACAAATCAGAGGTAACATGAGTAGTTGCACCAGAGTCTAAGTGCCAATTTGGATTGGCTTTTGTAGAGTATGCAGTATATAAAGCCTGATTATTATGAGATGATGCAGGGGAGCTCGAGAAATCTTCATTAAACAGATTCCAACACCGGAGGGTACTGTGGTTAGGCTTACCACAAATTTGACACACTACTGTGTCAACACGAAAGGGTCTCCGCCCGCGTCCACCATACCGTCTGCCAGCACCACCAGGCCTCCGGCCTCCTCCAGTCCGGCCGCCACTACGGGAGGGCCTATCCCCTGCCGCCTCCAAAGTGACCACGACCACGGCCATGCTGAGTGCACGAACTCTCCTGGGAGGCATAGAGAGCGGTATGTAACTCTGTGGACGAACCTATGGTCGGACCAAGACTGAGTTTCTGTTCAAGTTGAATATTCAGATCCTTAGATAATAGCCAAGAAGAGACAATGTTGAATGTGAGACTAGAAAGATTGGGCCGAACATTTTGTCTTAGACAGCCATATTCGGGCGGTAGACCACGCATGACATTGAGAATAATATCTTGTTCAGGGATTGGTTCGCGGGCAAGGGCAAGGGCATTAACAATCTTTAAGACCTCATCAAGGTAGCTTTGCATACTAGATTGTCCCTTACGAATATTTTGAAGCTGCTCCTTTAGTTGAAAAATATGCGTACGAAACAGTTAATTATACCTTTGGTGAAGATGATTCCATATTTCTGCGGCTGTAGTGCACATATGAACATAGTTCTGAACGGTTGGAGAAATCAAAGCAAGGAGGGAGGCTCGTAGTTGTGCATCAATGATGACCCACTGTTCATATGCCGGATTGGACTTCATCACTGGTTCTTTATCTCCGACGGTGGCTGCCTTTTCGTCAAGAATAGTAGGTGGGGGTGCGGCATCAGTACCATCAACGTACCTGAAAAGACGATGTGCAATGAGGGTCGCTTTCACCGTTGATGACCATGACGTATAGTTATTATCCTCCAATTTTGCGGGAACCAGAGAATGCAGATTACGAAGAAATAATCGCAATCCGCCAGGAAGGGTATCAAACACATCTCGGCTAGTAGTTGCCATAACAAAAAAAGGCTATTATTGGGCTGTGAAAGAAGGGAAGCAATAAAGCCTCTCCTGGCTGAGAAAACCAATGAACCAGAGAAAACGTGCATATTGGCGTTTGCAGACAAGAGAAAACCTGCATCCGTAGAGAAGAACAGGAGAGGCGGATCGAAAAAAATTAGGGTTTGGAACCATGCTCTGATACCATATTGGTGTTTGAATAATTGTCTATTGATCACCTCAAGATGGAATAATACAAGAGTATAAATAATAGGGACTCTAAACATATCAAGGAGTCATAAAGAGGTAATTACCAAAAATACACAACTACTATAAATAATATATACGTCTAATAGTGGGGATGATCTGGGATAGATTTTTTATACACAAATGGATTTTGAATTTATTTTCATGCATATATAGTACTCTTTGAAAGTTTCACTACCCTCAACGTACACCCTGTAGCAATCTAAGACCAACAGGTTGTGACAAAGAATGCTGTAGCACTACTAAACACAAAGTTATCAGATAGAGTGCTACACCAACCTCTTTAGCAAATAGTTAAGAACAGAAAAAGAACAACACACAACACACAAATTGTTTACGCAGTTTGGAGCAAATTCTCCTACGTCTGTGAGGCCCACGTCAGTGTAACAGCCTTCCCACTATATCAACTCAGAGTTTACAACCTCAATGTCGACAGACTCGATCTATCCATTGATCTAAACTCTACAACCAACTGGGAATGCAATAAACTCGGTTTATGCATGCATGACGAGACTAAAAAACTATGAAACTTATCTGTAACGTGTTCCTGGCCTACGCTCCAGTACTTCTCAGTTCAACTTTCTGGAACGCACATTAATCTTCCAGTAGAAGGCTATTCTGCATACCAGCAATATGTATTTCTCAATCTGTTTGGCGGACGAACTCTGCTCTTAGGTTTTTCTCTTCACAAATTTTCTCTCTTTGTTCGCACACACTACAAAAATAGATCTCCCTTTTATTTATACTTTGCAAGGCGAGATCAACCCTAGTAGAATCCTGATACACCTCTACCTACAAAGTGTGCTTATCTGGTAGATTCCTTGATATGGCTTTCTTCCAATTCCGCACATGTTTATAATCACCTTGGGAGATTGTGGCACACTAGGTATCGGCGAAGCTCAGAGTCCTTCTTCAGTTTGGTAAACACCAGTCCCAGATACACTTGGACTGTTTGAGTGACGGACAGGACGCTACAGCTCTATAAACCACATAGCTAGAACAAGCTGAGTACTAAAAACTACTACACATGGTTTTTGTCAAAAATAAAGCCAACACTTATGACAAAGAGACTAAGACACAACCAGGGAACCAACAATCTCCCCCTTTGGCAATTTTTTACAAAAACCACTACTTAGCGGTGTTGAACCTCTTCTCCCCATTTTTCGCACAAAAAATGCCAAGTTTTATTTGAAAAATGGGGTAAAGAATGAAGAGTAATATTCAACCGATCAAGAGTAGGCACAATGTGACATATAACACCTAAAAAGTGTGGCATAGAACTGTACCTACATCCGTCACTTGACCAACAAGAAGCATACAAAAATGACAATGGAGTACGTATGGGCAAGCATAGATCATAATGAGCAATAGAGCATGTCAAATAAACCATAGATCATATCCAGCATCAGCAAATCCCAATCAAAAAATTTGAATCCATAAGCAAGTAAGTCATAATAGAGCAAAACACATACTCCTGATAATCCAGAGGTAAAACCAACCTCAACACAAAGACAAGCTGATAAAAACAGAGTTTTGTGAGTTCAAGATCATATAAAGTAGTGTCCCCTTCCTCACTCTCCCCCTCAGAGTGATCCTCCTCTTCATCAGAATGCATGCTTCCAGTGGCCTCCTCCTCTGTGTCTGTGTGCTCCACATCTGGAGTTGCCTCCCTAGCCTGGAGCAACAAGACCACCAAGTGACCTTTTTCAACCTCTAGTTTCTCTTTCAGCTGTGAGGTCTTGGCTAACTCCTCTTTGACCTGCATCAGTTTCTGCTCCAAGAATCTCACCAGGGAGGGTGCCTTTCTGTCTTTTGCAGTTGTTGGACCATCAACCTCCATGTCATTGTGATGTTTTCCCTCCATGTGCCTGCTGTCCACTTGAAGTGGTGGCAGCAGACTGTAGAGGAGTGTTGGATAAGGAAGACCAATGGAGTTGATCTTGTACTTCTCGGCTGCAAAGAGCATTATCTGATCAAAGATTAGATGTCCTAGGTCAAAAGAGATGTTGTGCTTAATCTTGTAGAGAAGTCTGGCCATAATCTTGGAAACAGTATTGGTGTGTGTGGTCGGAAGCCAGTGAAGAGCTGCAACTCTCAGTAAGACAGCATATGAACTTTTGAGTATTGAAGAGGAAATTTTTGCCTTGCTAGACTGAGAGGCTCTTTGACCATTTGTGAGGTCTAGCCACATGGTCTTTTCTGAGATTTGGGTATCCTTTTTGCAGGGAGTGAGATCTAGCAAATTGTTGATAACAGCAGGGGAGAGTTTGTAGGTTTTTCCATGCAAAAACACTTTATGGATCATGGGGTCAGTAGGATCAGCACAAGATTTAGACAGATTGCAGTAAAACTCACAAATAACAGATTTCACAAATGAGGCTTGAAGAGTGACAGATTTTAACAGCTTGGATTTTTCAAGAAGAGGAATCAGGTTGGTCTTAAGCTTAAAGTCTTCCACATCGATTCTTCTTTGAACAATAATGCATTTCTTGTTCACATTACTGAAAAAAGATTTAGCTTTTGAGGAGACAAAGCGAGAATGAGGGGACTTTCCTGATTTTTCCACTGGAGTGACCTTCGCCGTAGAGCCCATGGGTGAGGAGGATGGTGGTTGCTTCTTTTGAGGTGGTTCTTCTGGACTTGAATCAACCTCCAGCTTCAATTTCCGCTTGGATCTGCGTTGAGGAATTGTACTGGGATTTTATTTCCTCTTGCCCCTTTTCACTGAAGATTCCTTCTGGAATGGGACTTCTAAGACCGCAACAAGGGGTTCTTCATCCAGGATTTTAATGAACTCTTCAGCTTCTTGATTTGGAGCATCTGACGGGGACTTGTTTGGCGCATCTGTGGTTGGTGCTGGATCTGACTTTGGAACTTCAATGGTCTTCGTTTCCTCCTTTGGTTTGTGGTATTCAATGTAGAGCACCTGTGGTAGATCTGTGGCGGAGAAGTGTGCTGCATCTTCTTCTTGCTGCTGCATGTGTGTGACATTTGTTGAAGACCCTTGATTCTCCATTGTTTCCTTCTCCTTCCTTATTTCTTGAAGCTTCTTGCGTGTTTGGCAGTATTTTTTGAACCAAGAGGGCTGATACTTTGAGACACTTGGGCGATTGAACTTCTGTTGTATAGCAATCTTGCTCCTCACCATGGCAGCTTTGCAATCTCTTGCAGAGAATTAGGGTTTTGAGAAAACTCGGAGAAGACGAATGTGGATGAGTCTGGCCAAGTGAATCGGTTTTCCTTCTATTTGGAAAATATATGTTTTGTGACTTCTCGTTTCTTGAGAGCAATACGGCGCCTGATAGTTTTGAGAAGCGTGCTTCATAATGACTAAGATATTTACAGAATATCCTTTCTCATTTCAAAATTCCAGCATATGACATGTCGTGTACACTCTGAGCTGGCTTTTAAGTGTCCACGTAAAAAAATGAATTAGAAAGGAGCACAAAGGCCCAGATCTGACCTGAGCTTCTCAAATCTATTTCCGTCCAGTGCCTTAGTAAAGATGTCTGCAAGTTGTTCCTCTGTTGGGATATGTTCCAAAGTCACTGTCTTATTTTCTACCAGTTCACGTATGAAGTGATGTTTTATATCAATGTGCTTGGTACGTGAGTGTAAGACAGGGTTCTTTGAAATACTGATTGCACTCGTATTGTCACGGTAGAGAGGTATCGTGCCATGTCTGATGCCATAATCTGCTAGCATTGACTTCATCCATAATAATTGCGTGCAACAGCTCCCAGCCGCTATATATTCTACTTCAGCAGTTGACATAGACACTGAGTTTTGTTTCTTGCTCATCCAAGCTACAGATTTCCTCCAAGAAGAAAACACCCCCCTGAAGTACTCTTTCTATCATCTATGTTTCCAGCCCAATCAGCATCGCTGTAGCCTGTAAGGTTTATTGTACCACCTTTGACGTACCACAACCCTAAATTTTGTGTCCCTTTGATATACTTCAGAATTCTTTTTACTGCCTTGAGAAGTGATTCTTTTGGACTTGCTTGATATCTAGCACAGACTCCTACACTGTAGCATATGTTTGGCCTGCTGGCAGTTAGGTATAGTAGACTTCCTATCATTCCTCTATACCTGGTAGGATCCACATCTTTTCCTAGGTCATCTCTGCAGATCTTCTCATGTGTTGGACAAGGTGTTCGAGCACTTTTACAGTCACCCATGTCAAACTTTTTCAGCATATTTTGAGCATACTTTGTTTGAGAAATAAATATTCCTTCAGCAGTTTGTTTGATTTGTAGACCTAGGAAGAAGGTAAGCTCACCTATCATGCTCATTTCGAATTCTGTCTCCATGACTTTTACAAACTGGTTGACCTGTGTCTTTGAAGTTGATCCAAACACAATATCATCGACATATATTTGGGCTATTAGGATGTCTAAGTCATACCTTTTGAAGAACATGGTGTTGTCACCACCTCCTCTGTTGTATCCTTCTCTCAATAGATATGATGTGAGTCTCTCGTACCATGCTCGAGGTGCTTGTTTTAGGCCATAAAGTGCCTTCCTTAGCTTGTACACATGCTCAGGATGTTTTTGATCAACAAAGCCCTTGGGCTGAGCCACATATACTTCCTCTTTTAGATACCCATTCAAGAAGGCTGTTTTTACATCCATTTGATATAGCTTCATGTTGAGTATACATGACAGGATGATGAGCATACGTATTGACTCCAGTCGTGCTACTGGTGCAAATGTTTCTTCAAAGTCCACTCCTTCTACTTGTGTGTACCCCTGAGCCACCAGTCTTGCCTTGTTTCTTATGACATTTCCTTCTTCATCAGTTTTGTTCATGTAGATCCACTTAGTGCCTATTACATTCACCATGTCTGATTTTGGTACTAGTTCCCAGACTTTATTCCTCTCAAACTATTCTAGCTCTTCATGCATTGCATTTATCCATGCTTCATCAGTAAGAGCCTCCTTTATGTTTCTGGGTTCTGATGTTGACGTATAGTAAGCCTTTGTCATCTCAAGAAAATTTATGGTCTTTTTCCTGGTCTTGATCCCTTCTGTTGGTGATCCGATGACATTCTTCAAGGGATGATTCTTTTGAATATGTGTGGGAACAGTAGATATCTCTGGTTCTTGCTCCTCAACTTCAGTTGTTTGTATTTTTTCTGGCTGAGCTTCTTGATCTGGTTCAACAGGTGTCATGTCAGTAGCTGGAGCATCTTCTAAATCATCCTGGCTCTTTTTCTCCATGCGATCATCAACGATCACATTTGTAGACTCCATGACTATTTTGGTTCTTTTGTTGTAAACTCAGTAAGCTTTACTGTTTGGAGAGTACCCAACAAAGATAGCTTCATCACTTTTGGGATCAATCTTTCCTTTTTGCTCTCGGTCTCTTAGAACAAAACATCTAGCTCCAAAAATATGGAAATGAGCGATGCTTGGTGTTCTTCCCTTCCAAAGTTCATAAGGAGTTGATTTTGTCCCACTCCTCATGTATACTCTGTTGATAGTGTAACATGCTGTGTGGACGGCTTCTGCCCACAATTTCTTAGGCAGATCAAAGGTATTTATCATTGTTCATGCCATCTCCTATACATGCCTGTTTTTCCTTTCAGCTACTCCGTTTTGTTGTGGTGTCTTTGCTGCAGAGAACTCATGCCATATCCCATGTTGATCACAGTATTCTTCAAAAGGCTTGTTTTCAAATTCACCTCCATGGTCACTTCGTATTCGGATGACTCCTTTTATTTTCAGCTGCTTTTCATTTTGTACTTTGTTGCATAGAGCTGCAAAAGCTTCCAGTGCATCATCCTTGTGCTTTAGAAAACTCACCCAGGTGTATCTTGTAAAGTCATCTACCACCATAAGCACAAATCTCTTCCCTCTTGTGCTTTCAGTCTTCATGGGACCGAATAGGTCAAGATGAAGTAGTTCAAGCGGTTGCTGAGTTGTTCTAAACGTTTTCTTCGGATGACTTGAGTGGACCTGTTTACCAAGTTGGCATGGCTTGCATACCTCATCTTTTATTTTAGTGATTTTTGGTAAACCTCTCACAGCTCCTGAGTTTGATAGAGTTGTCAGATCCTTGTAATTGATGTGCCCTAATCTGTAATGCCATAGTCTGGCATCTTTCTCACTTGCTGTGTAGCACAAAATGTTGGGGCTCACTCTATAACAGTTGTTTGTGGTTCTGTCACCTTCTAGCACAACCAACTTGTTTTTGTCCTTTACACGACATTTTTGTTGGGTAAATGTCACCTCTAGACCTTGATCACAAATCTGACTGATGCTTAGGAGATTTACTTGTAATCCTTTAACCAGCCAAACATTCCTGATAGGTGGAAGTCCAGTGACATTTAATGTTCCACATCTAATGATCTGTCCATGCGCTCCTCCTCCAAATCCGACACTGCCTCCCTCTATCTCCTGCATGTTCTTCAAACTTTTGTTGTCTCCAGTCATGTGATGTGAGCATCCACTATCCAGTAGCCATTGCTCTGGAGTGACTCGCATGCATGAGTTTGCATGTGATGCCACATGCTTTTGCACCCATATCTGATTGACTCTAGGACTTCTCTGTCTTCCTCTCCTGATTCTGCAACACATCTTTCTAATGTGCCCCCATTCTTTGCATCGATAGCACCTGTAGTTTTTATAGGGGTTTCTTGTGTACATATGGTACCTCTGATCCTTATGTGATGTACCAGTTGTTGTTTGTGAGACTTTAACTGGCAGGCTGTCTATCTTCTCCCTGGTGTCACTTTGTTTGATAAAGAGATCTAATAGTGTTTTGGTTGATTCTTCTCTTGGATAACCCAGCCCGGTTCTGTCTCCATACATTTTAGAATTGTCAACTTGGTGCTCAATAGCATTTGCCTCTGTGCTCAGCATCCATTCTTGTGAAATTCCAGCTCCTGCTTTATTCATCCACTTCTGATACTTCATGTGATGAGCTCATGCCTCAAATTTGCATTTTTTGTTTCCTTTTGACTCAGCTCATGTTGCAGCTTCTCAATAGTTTGTTCACAGATCTGCAGTTTAGTTTTTAAAATGAGATTTTCAGATACATTCCTCTTGTTTATATCAAGCAGATCACTCCACTTTTCTTGGAGTGTTCTTAGTTGCTCTTCAGAATCTTCTTGTATTTCTAATGTGACAAATGCGCAGTTACTTTCTCCATCAGTATCTCCAGTGTGTGGCTCTTCATCACTCCATGTTGAGGCAAAAGTCTGCCTCTTCTTTTTCATGTTGTTGGCGCATTCTGTTTGAATGTGACCGAAACCACCACACTCGAAGCATTGTGGTCCCTTTCTTCTTGATTCTGATGGTTGCATCCTGAATTCCTTTTCTTTCATCATTCTGGATTGTGAGCCTCTCTGAGGATCTTGTATGAGAGCTTGTTTCCATTTCTTTTGGAGGCACCTTTTTGTAAACTGCTTGGTGACAAGAGAGAGCTGTTCTTGAAAATCATCATCTGATATGGCATCGTCTTCTAGGTCTAGATCACCCACCTGAAATGATGTTTGTTTCTCAAACTTCTTCTTCTTTTGTTCCTCTGACATGGCCAGCTCGATGGTTTCAAGATTTCCCATCAGTTGATCCAGCGTCATCCTTTTCAGATCATGTGCTTGACGTATGGCCTTGGCATCAACTGAGTAGTTCTCTGGTAGAGCACCCAGTACCTTTAGAACGAGATTATCTTCCTCAAAAGGTCTTCCAAGTCGTTCTGCTTCATTTGCCAAGTCTCTCACTCTGCCATGAAATTCAGTAATGCTTTTCTTATCTTCCATTCAGAGATTTTCAAATTTTGTCATGAGAATTTGATATTTTGCTCTCTTAACTCTCTCATCCCCTTCGTGAGTTGTCTCAAGAATCTTCCATGCCTTCTTTGCTTCAGTGCAATTTGCAATGAGTCTGTATTGAGAACTATCCACCGCTCCAAACAAAGAATTTAAAGCCTTGTCATTGCATTCAGCAGCTGCAGCTTCTTCCATTGAGTATTCCTCAAATGTTTTGGGAATTTTAGCGTCTTCAACCGTCTTTGTAGGTATCTGCCAGCCAGTTTCAACACTTCTCCAGACTCTTCCACCTTGTGATTTTAAGAAGGCCTTCATGCGCCCCTTCCAGAAGTTGTAGTTTGGTCCCCTTAGCAGTGGTGGTCGTTGCACATTTGCTCCTTCTTCCATATCTCCCATGTTTGAACTTTAAAGCTAGTAACTTAAGCTTTAATGGCTCTGATACCAATTGAAAGTTTCACTACCCTCAACGTACACCCTGTAGCAATCTAAGACCAACAGGTTGTGACAGAGAATGTTGTAGCACTACTGAACACAAAGTTATCAGACAAAGTGCTACACCAACCTCTTTAGCAAATAGTTAAGAACAAAAAAAGAACAACACACAAATTGTTTACGCAGTTCGGAGAGAATTCTCCTACGTCTGCAAGGCCCACGTTAGTGTAACAGCCTTCCCACTATATCAACTCAGAGTTTACAACCTCAATGTCGACAGACTCGATCTATCCATTGATCTAAACTCTACAACTAACTGGGAATGCAATAAACTCATTTTATGCATGCATGCCGAGACTGAAACACTATGAAACTTATCTGTGACGTGTTCCTCGCCTACGCTCCTGTACTTCTCAGTTCAACTTTCTGGAACGCACATTAATCTTCCAGCAGAAGGCTATTCTGCATACCAGCAATATGTATTTCTCAATCTGTTTGGCTGACGAACTATGCACTCAGGTGTTTCTCTTCACAAATTTTCTCTCTTTGTTCGCACACACTACAAAAACAGATCTCCCTTTTATTTATACTTTGCAAGGCGAGAGCAACCCTAGTAGAATCCTGATACACCTCTACCTACAAAGTGTGCTTATCTGGTAGAGTCCTTGATATGGCTTTATTCCAATTCCGCACATGTTTATAATCACCTTTGGAGATTGTGGCACACTAGGTATCAGCGAAGCTCAGAGTCCTTCTTCAGTTTTGTAAACAGTAGTCCCAGATACACTTGGACTGTTTGAGTGACGGACAGGACGCTACAGCTCCTTAAATCACATAGCTAGCACAAGCTGAGTACTAAAAACTACTACACATTGTTTTTGTCAAAAATAAAGCCAACAGTTATGACAAAGAGACTAAGACACAACCAGGGAACCAACACTCTTAATATTTAAATAAATATATATGGTGATAAATTTGGTATCCTATGTCATACTTGCCAATAAATTCAAAAAATGTGTAAACTAAAAATACAATATAGTACTAAATTTTTAAGAGAAATCATAAATCTAATGACAATTCATATACAAATATTGTTTCATTGGTTTTACAATCTATTAAATAAGTCTACACTCAAAGCATACATATATTCTCAAGCAGTGACCAAAGAACATATTTGTGCATTTATAAAATGCAAAATAAGCCAAATGAGAAATGCGTGTTGGCACGAGATGCAAGGGAGCGTAGAAAAGAGTTACATCAACAATGGAGAGAGCATAAAGGTAATCTAAATCTAACTTTTTTTATACTTTTGTGATATGTAAAATTTATAAACCTATTTGTTTTTTGAATTTTACAAAAGAATGTGGAGAGTGATCGTCATCATCTCCAAGAAGTACTCCATTGGTGGATGTGACAAATGGTATGTATACAAATTTAGCTTATGTTTATTTTCTAATAAGATTTAACTTTTTTCAACCAATCAGACAGATGTAGTAGTAATCCATGATCCTCTGTTTGGAAAAGCAGAAAAAATACAAACTGAACCAAATGAAAAATTTGCGGTGGCAAGAATAGCAAGAGAGCGAAGGAAAGAGATATGTCAGCAAAGGAGAGAGCATAAGAGTATGTTAAACACAAATTTTTAATATTTTTTAGACTTATTAACATACATAACATTTAAATGTTAATAATAAACATATCTATTTTATTAATTTTTATTTCTTTTTTCAATATTACGTATAGGAGCAGGTGGAGAGGGGTCCTCATCAACACCGAAAAGAACTTCGTTCGTGGAGATGGTGTAGTTTATATGTACTCACTTGTTATTTTTTATTTTCCAAATACATGAGTACGAATGATTGAATCTACTGCATTTGCCTGATAAGATGTATATTGTGCACCGACATCTAAAAAATAGAGCATTGCAGTATTATCACATGCACAGAGATCAATCAATCATACGTAGAATAATGATTCATACATTGTAATACAAACGTAAAAGTGAAATTAAGTGAAAGTACAATATTACCTTTAGTGAAATTAATTGCACGTGACATCCCCTTATATTATAAGGGCCAACAAAGTTTCCTTCAGTCCTTTTTCCGTCAATGTTCCGTCAAATTGCCCTTTTCCCCGTCATTTTTCTCCCTAATACTATAAGCGCACTCTTGTCCGTTTCTTTCTCTGCCTAATTGAGAAATTGCCCAGCTCTTTCCGTCTCTCTCAGATTCCCCACGAACGCCGAATCCTATTCGCCCTTCTCTCCACCCACTCACGATGAGATCTTCTTCACCGCCCACCTCTCTTGTTCTCGTTCTCTTTCCGGATACGTCTTTGTCCTTCCATTTCCAGGTATTTCGTTTTTTCATCGTGCCTTTTCATATCTCTGCATATTTACGAATTCATCATCATCTTCTTCTTCTTTATTTTTAATTTTTGATAGTTAAATTTCACAGATTTTTAGAAGTAGGTGTTTCAAAATTTGGAAATCTGGTCAAGCTTCATGGAATTTCAAACTTTGGAAGTTTCTAGGATGTAGTTCTTTTGAAATTGAGTCAATTTTTAATACACCTATTCTAATTTCGGAAAGACTTGGTGAAAGAGAGGTGATCAAATCCTCCAAATCCCCACAAACAGATTCTATATCGTGCATGTTAGTGAAAATCATTTATCTCAGAGAAATGATTTAGAGGATTTGAAGTCCTTAGACGGTAATTTAGAATGCGCTTGTTCGCATTTGGTGTCCAAATGAAGGATATAAATAAGCTATTTGTTGAGCTGTATTGCATCTAAAGTTTTACAAATTCAAGGTTCATGGTAGCCATTGCCTTTTTTCCGTTTGATTTAATGCCCCGTGCCATCTCTGTTAGCCATAGCCTTTTTTCTGTTTGATTTAATGCCCAGTGGCCTTTTCTGTTTCTTCCAATTAGCACGAACAATTAAGGCTATTGGTCACTTCGCCGCCCACTGCCCCACAATAATGCCTTCTTTGCCGTTCACCGCACCACTTTCGACAACTACCCCCATATATCTTCACGTTTTCTTCGAAATTACTTCATCAGAGCTTCCTGTGTTCTGGGTGAGTTTCTTCCGGAGTTGCTTCATCTGGGTAGTTTTTCGATTTCTCTACATTTCTTTGTTTATACTCCATATTATTTTTGTTCTTGATTCGTAATAACACATATGGTCCAATTTAGATTTTGATTAAGTTATTGCTTTGTTTCGATTTATTCTAATTCAATAAGTAAATTGATATGAAGCTTAAATTTGAGCTTCCAGTTTTACCTTTATGGGAGACAACTTTTACTTTCAGTTTTTAAAGCTTCAATTCTTCTTTGTTTTGTTTAAATTTATATTTTAGTTCCCCTTATTTAACTTAGATTTTGAATATTCTAAAATTTAGGTTTACATCTTATTGGTAATGCTAAGTTGAAGTTAGAATTAGCAAGTTTTTAGAATTTAGGGTTTACCTTTGCCTGAATTTTTATTTACTTTTGTTTTATTTGTGATTAATTCACTACTACAGAATCATGATTTTACATCGCATTTTACACACCTGATAAATGAGAACCAATGTTGTTTGTTTACGCTAGAAAATCGAGCGTACAAAAAAAATGAAACCGGCCCATCATTTAAGTTTTTATTCCTAAAGCAGCGGATTAAAAAAAATGCGCTGTTGAAATTAGACAGCCCGTTTCCTAATCCTTAGCTTTTCGCTGCAATACTCAATCCTTCCATCTATCCCTACCGCTCCCAGACACAGGAAACACTCGTTGCAGACCCATCTCAAACAAAAACCTACCGGCTCGCAGACGCTCCCTCGCCATCGCCTCCGGATCTTCTGCGACATCTCTCTTGGCAGCGAACTCCCTCTTCAACGAGCAACCCTAACGTACTCGATCACCCAGCGAACTCCTTCAACATCTCCCTCAAGCCCTCGCCCAAGGATTTCTCACAAATTGAAGGTTAGCTCGCTTGCTCTGTTTAATTTACGATTTACAGTATATGTATTGTTAGTCGCACTTTCGTTGGGTTGAATCACAAGTCAGCCCTAATTTACTCCGTTTCCCAGTTTTAAATCTAACTTAGATTTCCCAATTTTAAGTTTTTTCCTCTCATGTAATGTGCAAATTTTAGATTTCACAATTTTAGCTAATATGTAATTTGCAACTTTTTGCTGAAGAGGGGGGAGAAGTCAACTTGGGAATCAAAATTTTTTTGAGAATTTTGTGAAGATTACTACTGTTCTTGATGGAATTGATCCAGTATTTGTGTTCCATTAGGTGAGGGTAAAATTGGATTGAAGTTTTTTTATTCAAGAACTTTCTAGGTCTCTTATTGAAAGGAATGCACTAATTATTGAAACTGATGAAACTAAGGTCCATAAAAACCCAAATGGGGACTCATGGGGTTAGAAACAGATGGGGACACTTGGAGTTTCTCACCTGCAAGCTACTGGATGTCCTACATGGGCTAAACCTTTTTTTTTCTTTTAATTTCTAGCACTTTAATTGGTTGTTTAGAGCAACTCCAATGGAGCCTCTATATTTTTTTGAAGTCTAAAAATTAAAGTTTTAACACTACACTGTAGATAAATTTGAGCTCCAACGGATAAGGAAAAATATACACGGTGAGCTAGTTTTAACTTTAGGTAATGTATATATAGAAGATTAACTTTATAAGCTATAATAAAAAAAGTGAGTAATAAGATATATAAAATTTATGAATAATTACTGATATGGTTGGAAAGCATACAAAAATGAGAGCATTCAAATTACTGTACACACTCTAAGAGGGAGTTTTAGCTTTCAATTTTTCTTGGCGTCTATGTAGGTACTATCCAATGGAATCCCAACAAGATGAAGACACAAGTCATCCCAACTCTCCTACTACTCAACCAAAAGGCAAGAAGAACGTTAGGAAAAGGGGCCCTACTTACATGATCTCATTTCAACAAAAGATTGATAGCGGTCGTTTGCCACCTCCTACTACACATTTTGATGAATATGGACGGCCAACTGGTGAAGAGGTGTCTACTTTTGAGAGTTTTTTGGGGATGCTAGCGAAGACAAGAGTAGAGATCACTTTAAGAAATTGGAAAGATTATGCCGAACCAAGAAGGGAGCTTTTGTGGCAACATATATTGGTATTTATATTTACTCTTTATGAAATTCCTATATTTTTTATTATTATTAACATATAAACCACCAATGAATATATATTCCCTCTTACTTTTTCAGAAAAAGTTCAATGTTGTTGATCCAAAAAACAAAGCAAGGAAAACAACCTTAAAGGATATATCAGACAAAGCTCGAAAAGTTAGAGCAGATCTCGTTAGGGTATACCTAAATCCTTTGAGTGAGAAATATGGGAAGTTTCCTGGTGATGATTATAAGGAGATAACATTGCAGATATGGGATGAATTTATTCGTCTACATCAAACAAAAGAGTTTCAGGTTTGAAAATTAAAATTATTGCTTACCCATCCCATATGTTATTAATTATTACTTTACAGGAAATGTGTGTTTGTTTCAATATAAGATTATTTTATTTCTTTTTTGTTTCTTACTTACAACAAATTTGTATAGGCATTGAGGGAAAAAAATAAACAGAATGCATCAAAACACAAGCACCCACAACGTGCAGGACGTGGAGGGTATAGATTGGTGAAACAGAAAATTAAAAAAGAGAAATTAGCACAGATGCAGTTAGACCTAAATGATCCTGAATGTGCAATCAGCCCTCCTTCACCACCTCGCCATGAGATTTGGATAAGAGCACGCCAGGACGAGAAAGGAGCTTATTTGTCAGGGGAGACTGCAAAAATAGCTACGATGATTGTAAGTCCTTTTCCTTATAACTAATTTGTGATATTACATTGGTGAAGTATGAAGGTCTTGCATTGACAATAATATTTACTTGACACAACCTTTGTAGTCACAATATGAAGAGGAATACACACGGGGGGAATTTGTAGTAGAAGGCAGAGCAGATATACTGGCAGCTGCTCTACCTAATCCAGAGCACCCTGGCCGTGTTAGAGGTGAGCAAGGAAAGGTTGGTTGGAAAGATTACTTTACACGTACTAAATCTTCGGATGCCGCATTCTCAAAAAAAGAAATTGAGGGCCTTACCAAGAAATTGAAGCAAATGGAAGCCGAGAGAGAAATAGAACGCGAAAAATACAAATCAGATTTTGAATCTGTAAGAGCTGAAATGAGAGCAGAACTAAAAGCTAGAGATGATGTGTTAATGAAGTTGTTGGGGCAAATGAATGGCACTTTACAAAAGGATGATCAACATGTACAAACATCTGTGGACAATATTCATATGCCAATCTCTAAATCAACCATTCAACTTGAGAACATGCCACCGGTAACTCTCAATTTTTATAATTGATTATTTTTTTAGTTTTATTTGGTGTAAACATAACTGGTGTTTGGTGTGATTATGCTCTATCTTCATATATGTGTAAATGCTTATTTATTAATTATTTCAGGTTCTATTATCTCCACATAAAAAGATGAAATTGGCCCAAATAGATGACAAGGTGGAATCTCAAGCTTCTGAGCCCATGCTCATGAGAAACCAAAGCTTTACGATCCAAAGAGAGAAAATACATCCAAAGAAGGCCACCGAGGATCTGCCTGCTTTTAATGTTGCTTTTAATGTTGGATTTGAGAACATACCACCGGTAACTCACAAATTGTATTATTTGATTCTTTATTTTTAGTTGTACTACTTTGAGTAAAATTAAATGAATTTAAATTATGCATACTCAGTTAGGCGTACGTTGCAAGCTATACTTGAACCTTCCTACCCTACGTCTAGTGGCTCGTGCAAATGTTTTTGGACAAGGTGTATTGCTCCATGGCAAACCACTAAATGAGGCACAAGCAAGGGTTTGTGTGCAAGAGGTAATCTTGGGCGAGGAGAATACGATGGTACCATATGTGACTGATGAAGTTCAAACTTTATCTTCATCGATTGGTACCTATATTGCTTGGCCTAAAAATTTGATTGAGATTGAGGAGCCGTCTGAGGTAAAAAAATCTAGCAGGTTCATTATTATGCCACTAGTTCATGTTCATCTATATATTAATTAGCGTCTCCAAATTGTGATTTGATTACGCTTTATCTTCAAGTCTATATGTTTTACGAAGTTTGCTTAAAATTTTCAGAGGCTCTTATCTCTACAAAAAAAGATGAAGGCATCCAAACCAAAAGCCGAGAAAATATATCAAAAGAATGCATCCCAAATTTATCCAAGAAAAATTGGGAATCAAAGGATTAAGGCATCCAAACCAAAAAAGGAGACTGTAAAGGCCACGTCTGATATTAGTTTTTTGCCATGCACATGGGATGAACACATGAAAACCACCTTTCAAAAGATGGTTACGACTCAAAAAGAACCAATGGTTCACGTCACTAGTGATATCATGCGTCACGAGTTCTACTTTTTCATCTCGATAGATGATTTAAAAGATTTCATGAAAATGAAAGCTTTTAATATTTCTATTCTTCAGTATTGGATCTGGTATGTGAAAAGTAATCCTTTGTATTCAAGATTTCATTTTTAAAAGAGTTGAGATATTCTATAAAAAAGAACTTTAATTATTTAATTGATTTTCATCCTTTTCAGGGTTCTTTATGATCGGTTTGAGTTATGCGACAAGAAGACGTATCGATTTCTAGATCCTGCAGAGATTTCCTCAAAGCCACACAATGGTAAGAGTATTGTTGAAATCAATAACAATCGGATTCGTTATGTTGAAAATTCCATAAAGGATGACTCTGTAGAGTGTTGGCTGGCTCCCTACAATGCAGGGTAAGTGCTATAAAGCTTACATACAACCTGTTTTTATAATTTATATTTTTAACTAATATTTGGAGTTCCTATATGGTAGGTCTGATTGGATGTTATGTGCAATTGTCCCAAACCAAGCATTAGTTTTCTGCTTCGATTTAGTTCAAGATGTTGATGTTCGTCGTAAAGCTGACATGAAACATATAATAAACTCGTAAGCTAATATTAAAAATTATTTATTTAAAGTTTTTAAAAACAATTAGATACTAATTGCATATTTATCATATAAAAGGGCATTTTTGAACTTGAAGTATCAAGGCAAAGCACACTATGTGCAACGTGGAAAAGTTCATCCGAAGTGGATAAATGTGAAAGTAAGTTGTTTTTTTTTGTTTTAAAAAAGTGAGTCAGATAACTATTTAATTTTGTTATTTTATAGTGTTATGTACAGGCCAAACAAGTTGAAGGTGCTTATTTTGTGATGAGGATGATGTATGATATCATAGTCCGACCAAGGGTACCATGTATTGATGAAGTAATGACTAATTATATTCAGTGCTTTTCGTTTACTGCAAATAGTTTAGTGGAAATTTTCAGCTCATTAGTAATGTAATTTAACTAATATCTTACAGATTTATGGTAATGAAGCATCACCTTTTCAAATGAAAGACATCAATGAAATGAAGTCATTGTTTTGTGCTCACTTTAATTCAAAATATGATGAGCTAATTGGTTATAGTGAAGAACATGTTGTTTCAGTATTTGGCCAAGTGAAAAACAATTCAAAATGATGTGTCATGACAAGGTATGTTTGCAAAGCTAAATTTTTGCTTTTCTTCTATATGTTGTTCCTTTCGAGAGATGCTCTTGCAAAAATGGTCTATTCTAGGCTATTTGATTGGTGGGTAGATGAAAGTACTCGATGCTGTTGAAGTTTCACTAGTGTCAAATGCTGCTCGCTTAGTTTGCTTGTTTATTTCTTTTTCAGGCTTGTGGACATGATAAAGAATTCTATTGGCAAAGATCTTAAACAGGTATGCCTTTGTTTTTATCATTTAACTCTTGCAGAATAATGCTGTATGATAACTCTTTTCTTGTTCTCTTTAGATTGAGATTTCTTTGGTGATATTGTTCTTGCATGTCACTTGCTATTCTTGTTCTCTCTAGCAGTTTATGATAGTATTTCTTGGGGTCCATAAAAGTAATTAGCCCTTTAGATTCCATTTCATCTCTCACTATACAAATTTTCTTCCTATACACCAATAAGAATTATTTGAGTTGATTTTGCCAAGGATTCTCACCATACAAATTATTACTTTCCGTTGGGAGTTCTTCCAATCAACAGATTGATACACAATATAATCCTCAAAATTCTGGATCTCCCCTTTAGTGACTGGTGTCCTCTTATCCTGTGATTATAGTCAAGAGTGCTGTTAAAATTACCTAAAGCACACCAAGGGTTGGATCTGTTCTTGGCAAACCTGATCAGATTTGCCCAAAGTTCTTTCCTCTTCACTTTGTCATTATATAGCCATAAACAAAAGAAACAAAGAACTATTTAGCACAATTGGTCATCTTACTAATGTATTAAAATGATTGATTTGTCAATTGTCTTTTGAAATATTTTGGTACATATCTGATCACATTTTACCTCATTTTGTAGATGTTTGTATTGCAAGATGGACCTGATTTTGAAGGTGTTAAAGAGATAAAAAATCTGGATTTAGAGCTGTTATTATCAATTTGAGGATGACATGTGCAAGAGCTAACTCTTTGTTTGGAATATAATACTCTTTATGATGTTTTTTTTGGTAGTATTACGTAGAACGTAACATGCACTTTGTCATGGATGCATTTTAGTTGGCAAGTTTTAGTCCAACTTAAATTGAGAATGAAACTTTTTTTTAGGTAAAGAGTAACATTTTTATACAATGTGCATTTTGGATGTTAAGTGTAATGAATGTTGTGTGCTGGATCTTAATTTCTATGTAAGAATTAAATACAAAATGTGTTTATAACAAATGTGCAGAACAAATAAAAAAATATTATTACGCATGGAAAAAATATTTATGTATACTACTATTTTAATGCATTAATAGACAGCGGATAAATATTCGTTGTGTAAACATTACCACAGCGGATATATATGTGTTGTGTAAACAATTCCACAGCGGATATAGATGTGGTGTATATGCTCTAGCGAATTTTTGTTAGTTTTACACAGCGGGTAAATATCCGGTGTGTAAAGTATACCGTTACATTTCACACCGGTTAAATATCCGCTGTAAAAACTTGATACCTATTGCACCGGTCACATACACAGCGGTTGATATGCGCTGGGAAATATCAAATTTATCCGCTGTGTAATCCATATCCTGTAGTAGTGATTGTGCTGAGTTTTCTGCTTTATTTTTAACTGATTAAGCAAAATTGATGTTAAAATTTTGTGGTTTGCTTCTGCTTGTTAACCAGAAAAATTTAAAAACTTAGGGTCTTTAAATTTTTTTAGCTTTACTGCATTGAAAAATTTATAATTGAGGTGGCCATTAATTGACTTAGAATATGTTATTTTTAAATACTTGCTCTATTTTTAAAGAGGATAACTCCTACGTGTATGCTTGATATGCGCCAGCCTGCCCATTTGGTTTATCACTTGAGTGTACCTAAAGTTAATATATTTATCAATGTGAGCAATAATAAGGGCCAACAAAGTTTCCTTCAGTCCTTTTTCCGTCAATGTTCCGTCAAATTGCCCTTTTCCCCGTCAGTTATCTCCCTAATACTACAAGCGCACTCTTGTCCGTTTCTTTCTCTGCCTAATTGAGTAATTGCCCAGCTCTTTCCGTCTCTCTCAGATTCCCCACGAACGCCGAATCCTATTCGCCCTTCTCTCAGCCCACTCACAATGAGATCTTCTTCACCGCCCACTTCTCTTGTTCTCGTTCTCTTTCCAGATACGTCTTTGTCCTTCCATTTCCAGGTATTTCGTTTTTTCATCGTGCCTTTTCATATCTCTGCATATTTACGAATTCATCATCTTCTTCTTCTTCTTTAATTTCAATTTTTGATAGTTAAATTTCACAGATTTTTAGAAGTAGGTGTTTCAAAATTTGGAAATCTGGTCAAGCTTAATGGAATTTCAAACTTTGGAAGTTTCTAGGATGTAGTTCTTTTGAAATTGAGTCAATTTTTAATACACCTATTCTAATTTCAGAAGGACTGAAAGAGAGGTGATCAAATCCTCCAAATCCCCACAAACAGATTCTATATCGTGCATGTTAGTGAAAATCATTTATCTCATAGAAATGATTCAGAGGATTTGAAGTCCTTAGACGGTAATTTAGAATGCGCTTGTTCGCATTTGGTGTCCAAATGAAGGATATAAATAAGCTATTTGTTGAGCTGTATTGCATCTAAAGTTTTACAAATTCAAGGTTCATGGTAGCCATTGCCTTTTTTCCGTTTGATTTTGTTGAATTCTATGAAACAATATATTTTACTCAAGGAAATAAAGGGGATACATGGGAGTATATATAGGTGGAGATCCTCATAGGAGTAGGATTCCTCTAGGATGACAACTAGGAATAGAACTATTACAACTTCTACTAGGAATAGAACTCTGATGTCTAACATCCCCCCTCAAGCTGAACGCCGTGAAACAAGTGGAAGCTTGGAAACCAGTGTGGCATAGCGTGGAGATGGCAAAGCTTTGGTGAGAAGGTCTGCCAATTGCTCTTGAGATGGAACATGTGAAACAGTCATTTGCTCTGCAATAACCTGCTCTCGCACAAAGTGATAGTCGCTACCAACATGTTTCATGCGCTTGTGGAATACTGGATTCTTAGTTAAGCAAATAGCGGACTGATTGTCACAATAAAGATGTGGTGGAGGAAGCCTAATCTTCAAGATGTCAAACAGATATGTGAGCCACATCACCTCAGCTGCAGCAGCCGATAGAGCACGGTACTCGGCCTCGGTTGACGAGCGAGATACCCGACTTTGTTTCTCTGTGCTCCAAGAGATGAGGTTCGAGCCAAAGTATACCAAGTAACCTGTAATGGAGCGTTCATGTGTCATATCATTTGCCTAGTCAGAGTCAGAGTAGGCTTGCAACCTTTGCGGACCTTTGCGAAATATCAACCCCCGATCAAGCGTGCCTTTGACATAGCGCAGAATACGCTTCAAAGACTGGAAGTCCTGTTCTGTAGGAGCATGCATACGCTGACAGACATGATTCACCGCAAATTGAATATCTGGCCTGGTGTTTGTTAAATACTGGAGAGAACCAACTAAGCTGCGAAACAAGGTGGGATTCTCAAAAGGACGGTTCTCCCCGTCCTCAGCCGACCGTACGGGAATTGGCGTCGGCGATGGTTTGCACTCCTCCATACCAGCTTTTTGAAGTAGTTCCCGGGCATATTTCTCTTGAGACACAATAAGATAATCCTTTGTACGTTTGACCTCAAGACCCAGAAAATAGTGAAGAGGGCCAAGATCCTTCATCTGAAATTCTTGTTGCATGGAATGGATAAACATAGTGATAAGAGAGGAGTCACTGCCCGTGACAATAATGTCTTCCACATATAACAGAACAATGAGAATACCATGAGGTGAGTGCTTGACGAAAAAACTGGTGTCATGCTCATTTTTACCAAAATCATAGTCTTGAAGAAAACCCGAGAGCCGCTCGTACCAGGCCCGAGGAGCCTGTTTGAGGCCGTACAAAGACTTCTTTAATCGGCACACATGATGTGGGAATTTCTGATCAACATACCCAGGTGGCTGCTTCATGTAAATCTCATCCGGGACGACGCCATGTAGGAAGGCGTTGGAGACATCCAGCTGATGCAGCGGCCAGTTATGATTCACTGCAAGTGATAGGATGAGGCGAATAGTCTGTTGTTTGACTACCGGACTGAAAGTCTCAGAGTAGTCCAAGCCATATTCTTGTGAATACCCCTTTGCCACCAAACGAGCTTTTTACCTGCTAACAGAGCCATCAGAGTTACGTTTAATTTTGTTAACTCGTCGGAACACAAATATCGATCGATTGTTTTCATTATTGTAATTAATTAGATTATACAAATAATTGAATAAACCTTATAAAAAGGAATAATAATCTAGCTCTTTAATAGGATGTGTGGCGTTTATGCATGCTTGTTCAACAACATTAAAAATTTCACAGCCGGGGTCCGGGTGCAAAGCCCCCTGTCTGGGGTCGAGCTGATTTTTTTTTTGGAACGTTGTTGTTTTATGAAAATTCTTTGAATTTTTTTATTTGGAGTCTAAAATGAAGTCCAGAATAAGTTGAGTAACTATATTCAAATTAAGAGTAAAAAAATATTTTATTTAATTTATCAAATAATAAAAGTAATCCTTTTAAAAAAACCTTAAAAAAAGTAATCCTTTCAAATAATAAAAGCAACACTTACATTAAAAAACCTAATTAAATAAAAAGCAACACACCCTCTCCTAAAAACACTCTCCTAAAAACGAAAACACTCAAACCGTCTCCCACTTCTTATAATCGACTCAAACTGCCGATCGACTCTTCCTCTTCTTCTCTCCGATCTACTCTTCGATTAGTGCGGCCGATTCTCACAGTCAAAGGCAAGCAAGTACTCAAATTAGCTCCAATCAAAGTTGAGGTAAGTAATCCAATATTTGATTTCAAATTGTTGCCTTTATTTGTTCGGTTTTCTAGTATTTGTGTTTCTATAGATTTGTGATTTTCATAGACTTAGTTTTTGGATGCTACTAGGGTAGGGTGAATGGGGTCTGATCTAGGTGTGGAAGGGTGGGCTGGAATTGACAGCTT